TTTATTTTTATTCTACAATAAATTATTACTATAATTTGGTTCAAACCAGGTACTATAGTAACCAAACCAAAATATTCCAATTACAATTTATAATCAAAACGCGATATTTAGAGTTTATTAAAATCACGAACTGGAATGGGCGGTTCATGTTCCAAACTGAAAAAATAAAATACATTTATTGTTGAATTTAAACTATTTTAAAATAAAAAATAAAATTTTAAAATAAAGACGGTTCAAAATCGCGAACGGGATCCGGAACCGTCGGTTCATGATCCAGTTTTTTTTTTTTTATTCTTAAATTTAATAAATTGAAATCCAAATATTGGGTTCTAGATCTGAATCATAACTGAAAACTTTTAATTCGATTGCTATAGTGTCTGGTTCAGTTCGAACTGAACCGTGGTAATCGCTACATATACGCAATAATTTGTTGGAGAAGTAAATAAATAAAATGTTTACTTTAAGGGTAGAAATGTCAATTTAATATATTAGGGGAGAAAACTACCACTTTTAAAATAATTGAGGGGGCTAATGTACTTACATAAATAATTGAGGAGAAAAAAGTGCTATAAGTATATAACATAGGGGGAAAAAGTGCCATTTTCCCTTTTTTCCTTCTTGTACATTTAATGGGTGACGGGTACATGAGATTGAAAGTCAACTCTAGTACATAAAGGAGTTATTGTCTTGGTTGTTGAATGCAGAATACGTAGTATTATTTTCTTTTCTTTTCACATTTTATCTCTAAGAGGACGTCAATATAAATATTTTTGGGATTTTTGGGTGAGGAGTTCGAGGAGAGTGAAATTAGAAAGGAGATGGACTTATCTCACAAATTCTTGATGTAGACAATTTCTTTGAGATTCACATGCCAAAAATATTTTATACTTGGTTATCACATCGTGGAGTAAAATCCGAGTAGAATTTGAAAGTACATGTAATAAAATTTATCTTTGAGAGGATGGCTTTTTTGAGTGTTTATCGGGTGTATTGAGGATGGTTGTCAATTAGTGATTATTATTTTTGTTTTTGTTCTTTAAAAAAAAAAAAAAAAAAAGGGATAAGGGTCAAATAGACCCTCCAACTACATAGCAAAGTGCAATTAGCCCCTCCAACTAAAAAAACATTCAATTAAACCCTTCAACTTATTAAAAGTGTGCATTTATCATTTTTAACAAGTTACCAAAAGGTTACCAATTAATTTTGCTTGCTTGGCATTGACATTTCATTTAAATATTTTTAAAAACTTTAAAAAAAAAAAAAGTCACCGGCGACGGATAAGCCTCGACGCCGTCAGATTCATTTGAACAGAGAAAATGGCTTCTCTTCTCCGTTAGCTCTCCGTCCAAATATACCCTTCTTCTTCTTCATGTTCTTCCTCATCGTCTTCTTGTTTCTTGTCACCAACAACGCAAGTGTATATTTGGACGGTAATTCGTGGGAGGAGCAGGCTTTTGCGGAGGATGCGGCGGGGGCGCTGGGGGTTGTGTCTGGCCGCCGCGATCTTACACGTGCAGCTTCTTCCGGCGAGAGTTCTGGTCGGCGCAAGCCCTCGGAGGTCACATGAACGTGCACAGGAGAGGTGTTCCCAACGCTAATAATCCCACCTTAATACCTAAGTACACTCCTCCTGCCGCCGCCCGTTATCCTTCTGTACAACCACAACTCGGATTCAGATCACTGGATTAGGGTTTCCAATATTGCCCCAGAACAATATAAGAACGAGGGCTCGGTGGCTAGTAGACGACGTTTTTGTTTAACCCCGGATGTGAATAATGGGGAGAAGAAGGAGTTGAAAGTGTTGTAGATTTAAGGAAGAGTGCCGCCATTGATGATGAAGCAGAAAACAACCTGAAAATCGTGGATTCCTCTAGTTGTAGGGATCATAAAACGAGGACGATGTTGTTGACGACAAGAAGGGCGACAGACGAGGATGTTTCAAGCTGCAGCAAGAGAAGGAAAATAGATGCGAATAATCCAACGTTTGGTTTGTTCCCAGAACTGGGTTCTAGTATCCTCGCCAATCCCATAGAAGAATTGGATCTAGAGCTAAGGCTGGGTAATGATCCTCCTATGGTGAAATAAGGAACCAAAATGGATGGTTTATTGGAACGCTTAATTTCCTGTCTCATTACTCACCTCATCATCAATTCATCAGTATGTTTTCTACTTTTCTTCCTCTTTTTCTTTCTGCTTTGTTGATCAGAAGGCTGAAAAGCTTGTAGGTTTGGAAATTTGCAGAGTGTAAGAATTCAAGAAGCAAGAAGACGATGAGGAAGAACATGAAGAAGGAGGGTATATTTGGACGGAGAGCTAACGGAGAAGAGAAGCCAGTTTCTCAGTTCAAATTAATCCGACGGCATCATGGTTTATCCTTCACCGGTGACTTTTTTTTTTTTTTTTTTATAGTTTTCAGAAAACTATATATATATATATATATATATATATATATATATATATTTAAATGTAGATATATTTAAATGAAATGTCACATAGATGCCAAGCAAGTAAAATTAATTGGTAACCTTTTGGTAACTTGTTAAAAATGATAAATGCACACTTTTAATAAGTTGAAGGGTTTAATTGAATGTTTTTTTAGTTGAAGCGGCTAATTGCACTTTGCTATATAGTTGGAGGGTCTATTTGACCCTTATCCCAAAAAAAAAAAAAATTCCAGCTGTTGAACTGCTGGGATTATTCTACTTTTCTAACCTTTTTATATTATTTATTTATTACTCCGTATTTATGTACACACTTTAATAACCCTTATTATTACGGAATATATCATATTTAGTGTCTGTATATATATAGGGTCAAGTTCTCATATGGTCACTCACCATTAGGTACACATAAATGTATCGCAAATTATTTAGAAATGCACCATTAAGCGTGGTGTGGTGTGGTATGTTTTATTGTGGTGCATTTTTACATATCTAATGGTGAATACACACCGATCGCACGGAAAACACTGTCCGAACCACTATATATATATATATATATATATATATATATATATATATATATATATATATAATTTCGATTAATCAATAATTTCGAACCGAATTAATTGTTAACTGAAATTTAACTAAACATCTAACCATTTACTGAGTTGAAGTATTTCAGTTAAAAAATGGTTAATCAAAATTCTTTGGTTCGGTTAGTTAAGCGAATTTTTATCAAAGTTTGCACACTTCTAGTGATATATTTATCTACTATTTTATCGGATTGGGGCGTGGAGTTCTAGGAGCAAGAGAATTTTTTTTTTTTTGTTTTTTATAGGCAAAATAGTAAGGAATAGACTAAAAGTGACCTACTCCAATAGTTTATTTTTATACCAACTTAAATCCCAAACCTTTAATAATTTGAGCAAAGAGTTTTGATCAAGCTCATATTCTTATTTAGTCATTTCAATTCGATTTGGAACAAAATGGTATAAGCCCTGAATGGGCCAGAAAACAAAATGGTATAAGCCCAATGGATTCGGAAATGATTTCAAAGCCCAGAAACGGCTGCACACTATTTATTCTCACTTCACTAATTGACCTAGTTTTCACCCTCTTCCCCAAAACCCTAGCCATTGTCTTCCTCACTCTCCCCCTCCCAGTGTGCCGTCGCAATGGCCACCGCCGCCGCACGCCCTCTCGTTTCCGTTCAAGCCCTAGAAAATGACATGGCCACCGACGGAGCAAGCGTCGCCAACTCCGTCGCTCTACCCGGCGTCATGAAGGCTCCGATTCGACCCGACGTCGTAACCTTCGTTCACTCCAACATTTCCAGGAACTCCCGTCAGCCGTACGCGGTGTCGAAGCGCGCTGGCCACCAGACCTCCGCCGAGTCCTGGGGAACTGGCCGTGCTGTGTCCCGTATCCCCCGTGTGCCAGGCGGCGGTACTCACCGTGCCGGCCAGGGAGCGTTCGGAAACATGTGTCGTGGTGGAAGGATGTTCGCTCCCACCAAGATCTGGCGCCGCTGGCACCGGAAGATCCCGGTCAATCAGAAGCGCTACGCCGTCGCCTCCGCCATCGCCGCCACCGCTGTTCCTTCCTTGGTCCTTGCTCGCGGCCACCGAATTGAATCCGTCCCTGAAATCCCCCTCGTGGTCTCCGATTCCGCGGAGGGAATTGAGAAGACATCCAACGCCATCAAGGCTCTCAAGCAAATCGGAGCCTTCCCTGATGCCGAGAAAGCTAAGGACAGCCAAGCCATTCGCGCCGGCAAAGGTAAGATGCGTAACCGCCGCTACATTTCCCGCAAGGGACCTCTGATTGTTTATGGAACCGAGGGCGCTAAGCTAGTGAAAGCCTTCCGGAACATTCCGGGTATTGACATTTGCCACGTGGACCGCCTGAACCTCCTGAAGCTTGCTCCGGGAGGCCATCTCGGACGCTTCGTTATCTGGACAAAATCTGCATTCGACAAACTTGACGAAATTTATGGCTCTTTTGACAAGCCTTCGGAGAAGAAGAAGGGTTACGTCTTGCCAAGGCCTAAGATGGTTAATGCTGATCTTGCTAGGATCATCAACTCTGATGAGGTGCAGTCTGTAGTGAGACCTATTAAGAAGGAAGTGAAGAGAGCTACTCTCAAGAAGAATCCATTGAAGAACCTGAATGTGCATCTCAAGCTTAACCCTTATGCCAAGACTGCCCGGAGAATGGCCCTTTTGGCCGAGGCTCAGCGTGTTAAGGCCAAGTCAGAGAAGCTTGCTCAGAAGAGACTACAAATCACAAAGGTATGAGCTTTAACTTATTTTAAATTGAACCAGTTTACAAGTAGTTGAATTTATCCCATTTTAATGCTTTACTCAATATTGTTATGTGCAATATCTAAGTCAATGTCCCCTTATTTTGACCATATTGATTGATCTTGGAATATAGTGGTATACATGTCTTTATATAGAATTGTCTTAGTAGTTAGTATGCTTTTGCTTGGTTTGGCAGTTTATAGCTATTGTTTCTTGAAATATGTGGTTCCATGTCCTTAGTCTGGGGTTCCTAAACATCCTTTCTTGTGTTGTCTAGTGATTTAAATGTTGTAGTTCTGTTCTCTGATTAATCCAACATTCATTGTGCTTGTCTACAGCTTAATCTCTATATATATATTTAGCAGTATATATGTATGTTGAGAAGTGGTTTTTCGATTGTTTGTGAATCGTGATGTATAACATGTTATTCTTTTTGTGTTGCTCCTCTATTTCTTTAGCTTTGTTTTCCATGGTTATGCCTATGCAATCTACTAGTGCATGATGTTTAAATGATGGGAATTTGACTTGAATTTCTTGTATTTTAGGAGGAGGCATCTGCAATCAGGGCTGCTGGGAAGTCCTGGTACAAGACAATGATCTCCGACAGTGACTACACAGAGTTTGAGAACTTCACAAAGTGGTTGGGAGTGTCTCAGTGATTCCATGTTTCTAAGAGAACTTTACTTTCTAGTGCTGTTTAGTGTTGTTTATGCAATTTTGTGATGAGACATTAAAGAAACAAAGCGGAAATGGGGAATTCTGGAAGGGAATTGCTTTGCATTCTTGCCAAGTTCCCCGCTTCATTATCAAACAGATTTGGCATTTAGAATTTTGTTGTGAATTTGATAAACTTATAATTTTGTTTGTTTGTTTTCTTTCTTCCTCTTCCAAGTTTTCTTAGCATCATTCAACACCTGGATTTGGTATATGCCTTTTTGTTACTGTTTTATGGTTTAAAAGAAGAATTTGGATATAATGAAATTAATATGAACAATGTTTGAGGAAATCCTAATCAAGTAAGTTGGACAGGTTGTTGATTCTTAACGAGAGTGGTTTATTGATTTTTAGTTTGAGTCTCCATATAAACAATTTAGGCTATTTTACTTAAAAAAATTAATTTACTAAGAAAGTTTGTAATGTATGTTCAATGATGTTACAGAGCAAATGTATTTTCGAAAATTTTGGTTTAAAAATTACGCGAAAAATAGGTAAAATTAAGCAATTTTTTTTTTTTTTTAAAAAAAAAGAAAGAAAAAATGACAGAAGAACCCCTTTTAAAATCAAGCTTCTCCTTCACCGTTGAAACGGTTGGCCAGGAATGAGAGAAGCGCTAGTCATCCTTCCCTCCTCTTCCGTTTCTCTCCCTCCGCCCAACCCCGCGCCTACTCCGCCGCACCGCCACCGCAACCACCGCCCGTCCACCACAAAGTCCAAGCCTAAACTAAAGCCCAAGAAGAAGTCCAGTCCCTACAACTCAGCCTCCACCTTCTCCACTTCTTCTCCACCTCCTCTGCTCACGCCCACTCCGAAATGGGACTCCACCGCCTCCTACCACCGCAGGGGCCTCAAGTTCTACGCAGAAATCGCTTCCCGCCACGCCGAGGACGGGAGATTCCAGGATTTCATGATGATTGTGGAAAGCGTCGTCGTTTCCGGAACCGATGCCGCGAATTTTGCAAGGTTGCTGAATGTGAACCTCATTTCTCTTGGAATCGTGAGGATGATCGAGGAAGGGAAGAGAGGGAGAGTTGTCGAGCTGCTGAGCAGTGTTCAGAAGCTGCAAATTCATCCTCCTCTGCTGCTTGATGGAGCTGCTATTGACGCGCTTCACAAGGATTGTCAGCGCATTGTGAAATGTGGCAAAGAGGAAGAAATTGTTACCTTCATGGAAACACTACAAGGTAAACCCCTTTTTGGTGCTAATATGACCTAGCACTAAGCACAGCTGTTTAAGCATGGAGTACTGATGTCTCATTGAGCATTTATCAACATTTGTGTAATTTATTAGTTCTTCGTTTTTTTGTTTTTTTTTTTTTTGAGCGATGAGAGAAACCACAACAACTAATTGAGAGTATGCATATTAGTAAATTTTGCCTACTGATCTATCAGGCAAAGGACCACCTAAATCAATCTAGGTTACCATAGTTGACCAACTCAAAGTCTCAAATCAAGAATCAAGAAGGCAAATAGACTGCACACAACTAAGGATGTGGACGATAAATCCCACCTTGTGATCCTAGTAGGCAAATGACTGGAGGTAAACCAGACTAGTGGATCAGCTCAAAGTCTCAAACCAATACTCTCACTGGGAGTCAAACTTATAACCTTGTTGTTGTCTTCTTGAATCTTGACCAACTTTGACTAGGGTTGCCGCCCCTAATAGTTCTACTTTGTGAAGATGAATGGTGTTTGATTTGAGTGAGATTACCTGGTTTCAGGGTATGGTTTGCCAATTAAAGAATTTGTGGAGCCCTTGGAAATCATAAGGCTTTGTGTCAGAAAAGTAAACCCAAGTGCTGCCATCAGGTACAGGAAAAGCTACATTTTAATACAAGGAATTTATCAACTGCTTTCAAAGTTCCTCAAAATTAGCATGTCACTATATCTGATGGATGTCCATAAATATGAAAGCTCTGATCTTTAATTTGGAGAAACTAGGACTGGATGAATTTCTATTGAACTTTTTTTTTTTTTCTTTCTATATCATAATTATTAAAGGTATATGTTACTACCCCATCATCACACTTATTTGTACCTTTCTTGGTGATATCAATTTTGCTCTGTAAACAAGAACAAACTTCTGAACATAGAATTTTACGGGATGACTGTTGATTATGGAGTATTTGTTATCTTTTAGTTAATGCTATTGCCTACCTTAAATCTGATATTGTGCAGGTATGCACATATTTTTCCACATGTGCAAATTTTGTTGTGTACCATAATTCGTGAATTTGGGAAGAAAGGTGACTTGGACTCTGCCCTAACCGTGTTTGAAGTATCCAAGCAGGATTTAGATTCTCCTAATATGTTCGCCTACCGGACAATTATAGATGTGTGTGGTCTCTGTGGTGAATACTTGAAGTCTAGGCCCATATACGAGGTACTAATCTTGCAAATCATACATAGACTTGTATTAAACCGTGTTTAAGCTAGGACAATATCAATATAGAACCACTGTTTGATCTAAATCTAAAAGGCAGGAAGGAACTATAATCTCATAATCTTATTGCAATTATTTTGAGTTCAATTAATATGTTTTAGAATTGACCAATAAGGGTTTCAACTTTATTTTATTAGATTCAATGCCTTGAAATTGTTCCTGGATAGGTCCATGCTTCAATTATATATAATGCCAGTGCAGGAGTTAATTGCTCAAGGTGCAACCCCAAATGCATATGTTTTCAACAGTCTCATGAATGTAAATGCTTGTGATTTGAGCTACACGTTATATCTATACAAGGATATGAAGGCAAGTTTTTTGTTATTTTCTTGTTTGCACTCTCAAATTCTCTCCTATCCAACCCCTCCCTTGAAGATACACATGAATCTTATATGAGAAGGCTGTCTTCTATTCACCATATTGGGAAAGGCTATCATTTATGATACTGAAGTAAAATGCAGTACTTCTTCGATGACTCAATAGAAGTTTTGATCACATTTTTTCCATTTGTTTCCTTCTTATCTACTTTGTTGTTCTGGTTAAAGTTCGTACACTGGATCTTGTTTATTCTTCATAAATATACCTTCAGGGTTCTTCTTGTTACTTGAAAGCTTAAGTGATGGAAGGGAATCATTTGTTCATTTTATTATTCCTTTTTCACTTTTTTTTTTTTTGTATCCAGAAACTAGGTGTTACAGCTGATACGACATCTTATAACATCCTTCTGAAATCATGCTGTCTTGCTGGAAGAGTTGATCTAGCCAAAAACATTTATAAGGAGGTGAAGTGCTTGGAGTCAGCAGGAGCATTGAAATTGGATGTCTTCACATACAGCACCTTAATTAAGGTATCTTCATCTTTAGCTATCATGTATAGATTCCAAATGCGTTTAGAAACCATGTTCAACATTTAGACCTCCACATAAGGGAGTTCGAACCCCTTCTCGTATGCAAAAACCAATCTGGCCAGCACTTTGCCCCTTAATTGGGCCAGGCCGGTGCAACTGGGGATTAGTCTGAGTATGGTACGGGCTTAAAGGTGCCTTCTACAGTTAAGGTCTGCTCAGGACACCTCATAGCCTGACAAAAAATAAAAATAAAAAAATTGGACATTTAGCAGTTTCATGGTCAAAACTAAAGACTAAATAACAATGTTCTCATATGCAAATGCCGTTCTCAGTCAATCTTTAAACCTTCTCCTCAATGTTTAGGTCTTTGCTGAAGCAAAAATGTGGCAAATGGCTCTTAAAATCAAACAAGATATGCTATCAGCAGGTGTTGCTCCCAATGTTGTTACATGGTCATCATTGATCAGTGCATGTGCCAATGCAGGTCTTGTAGACCAAGCAATTCAATTATTCAAAGAAATGCTTCAAGCCGGTTGTGAGCCTACTGTACAATGTTGCAACATCATCCTTCACGCTTGTGTTGAAGCTCACCAATATGACAGGGCATTTCGGCTTTTCAGGTCCTGGAAGGAAAATGGGCTGCAGAAGGATGATTATGAAAGAAATGCAGAAAATAATATGGCTGGGGTACTCAACTGCACATCTTCCTTGAGTCAAGAACAGTTCTCTATAAGAGTTCCGTTTATACCCACAACATCAACTTATAATACTTTGATGAAGGCATGCGGCACTGATTATTATCGGGCCAAAGCTTTGATGGATGAGATGAAGACAATGGGTCTTTCTCCCAACCATATAAGCTGGTCCATTTTGATTGACATATGTGGAGGCTCAGGAAATGTACAGGGCGCACTGCAGGTAAGAGTGTCTCCTCTCCTACATTTTGTATCTGTCAATTCACAATTGTGTTTTGAACTCTATAATAAATGTCTCCTTGCAGTGCAGATCTTGAGATCCATGCGCGATGCTGGCATTCAACCTGATGTCGTTACTTATACCACAGCTATCAAGGTTCAGAGCTCAATACGCTTAAACATGGACACACGATGATTCTCGTTTGAATTTCTTAGATCATGAACTTCCCTCTTATTTCCACAGATTTGCGTGGAACAAAAATCATTCAAGACTGGATTTTTGCTATTTGCAGAAATGAAAAGATTTCAGATAAAGCCTAATATGGTAAGTTAGGACTCTTTGGGCTTACAATACAGTGAAGAATTTTTCATTTGAAAGTTGAAACACTGCATATTTGATTTCCAAATGACAATGGATCTTATTAACAGATCTGTACTAGCATTCTCACATGTTTGGTATCAATTCTTGTTTTTAAAAACTGGGAATATTTTCATTTTAGGTGACTTACAATACACTTCTTAGAGCTCATAGTAGTTATGGCTCCTTAGAGGAGGTACAACAATGCCTAGCTGTATATCAGGACATGCGGAAAGCTGGGTAAGAGATTCATTCACAATTCAATATCTGGCAAATTTTATCCCCTTTTGCATTTTTGCATTTGAAATCTTATTCTGAATGATTAAAATGCTAGCTCTGATGCCTGCAGATACTGTATTTGCTGAATTGCAGTATAACACTTGTCTGCGTTATACTATCTTCATTTTCAGCCTTTTATGATGTCAATCTTATAGGTACAGACTCAATGATCACCATCTCAAACAACTAATTAAGGAGTGGTGTGAAGGTCTAATACAGAATCGCCATCAGAAAGAAGGGCAACTTACTTCCCAGAATAGGATTGATCTAGATCCTAAAAGTCTGCTTCTTGAGAAAGTTGCTGAACACTTGCAGAAGAGTAATGCTGGAAGCCTATCTATTGATCTTCAGAAACTTTCTAAGGTATAAACTCAAAGTGTGGATAATCACTGATAGATTTCTACAAGAAAATGGTTCCTACCACCAGACAAACAATATCTTTTGCATCCACTTTATAGGTTTTGAAAAATTCACTTTTAAAAATCTCTCCTTTTTTGTCAATCTTTCATACTCTGCACTTGCAGGTTGAAGCTCGCACATTGGTTCTTGCAGTTCTGAGAATGATGAAAGAGACATACAATCCAGGTCAGGAAACAATGTTATTGATCTAAATTTATACTCTTTTGGCACCTTTATTTGTTTGAACCTTATAGCCTTAGCAGCATATTTTCATGTATGAATACACACTATAACAAAACTTCACACAGACATTAATTGCAAGTTGGTTTCATCTGCAGGAGATTTAATTACAGATGATGTGCAGATCATATTAGGAGTAGATCAAGTAGGCACACCTGCGGCCAATCACGAAAGTGGAGTCAAGGAAACAATAATCGAACTCTTGCAACATGATTTGCGTCTTGAGGTTGTTTCAACAGGATCCAAAACCGAAACCGACAGAAATTATGGCGAGATAAACTCTGCAGATGAATCTTCAGACACAGAGGAGAACAGGGAAAGCGGTGTTTTGCCATCACAATCGGATTTTCCTACAAGGAGACCTGCAGTTCTACAAAAGTTGAAGATAACTAAGGAATCATTGGACTCTTGGCTACAGAGAATAATGGATGGTTCTGAAAGGCAGTCCCCTACATCTGATATGTGAAAAACCATTCTGTAAGATTCTTTTTGCCCTTTGATCTGTAAAGAGTTTCATTTGCTTCTCTTTTAGTAACAGAAATTATAGCACTGTAAATTAGACCTGATGGTACTTCACTGAAATACTCTGCTCTGTATAATCATAAAATAAATACTGTTATTGAAAAATAAAATAAAATTACCCACCTGTTTCAGATGTACAACTTTTGTTCTTGATATAATTTGATTAATTTCCAATCAATATTGCAGAAGGCGCTAGGCGCTAGTCAGGTGCCCGGGGGCGTCTAGCGCCTAGAGTGCCTGGTGCCACATAGGCGGCCAAGTAATCTGAGTATATCATCTCCACGTTGTTAGACTGTTATAATCTCCAAACTAGTCAACTGCATATGTTAGATAGTTGAGTACATGACTGAAGAAATATAGAAGAGTAGCCGAGCAGTCAAAAAAAACCACTCGGCCAAGTTGGGCACCGACTCGGTCACGTTAGGTGCCCGACTCAGCCGAATTAGGCGTTCAACTCGGCCAAGTCAGCCAGTTAGTCGGTTAGCCAACTAAAAGCCGCCTAGGGCTGAAATCACCTCAGCCTAGGGGCGCCTAGCTAGGCCCATTTTTACATTTCCAATTACTTTCTTTATGTTGAGCTGCAACTAAACAAAGGATTAATGCTGTCATAACATCCCTATTAAGGCATCAAACTGCAAGAAATTTGCAGAATTTATAACAACAGCCAAATATTTGCATTTATATGAAATGTGCCTCGTACAGGTATAGAATCGGTATAGATCCCGGATTAAAGAAAAAAGTTATATATATTGGGTATATTTACGTTAACAAGTGCTGGTGCAAGAATAACTCGATTAAGGAGTACTTTGCAAGCAACAAGCCCTCAAGATATCTTCGATTGGCGGATCATCTCCTGCTTCTTTGTCCTGTGAAGAAGTTGAATTAAAACATCAGGCTCCATATTAGTACAGAGTATAGTATATATGTGTGTTCATTGCATCATCGATATTCGACTAATATAGTAATATCATATCAAACCTCCCACACGTCAATTGATATAAACGCATTCACTTAACAGCGAGAGAGAGAGAGAGAGAGAGAGAGAGAGAGAGAGAAATAGGAGCTAACCTTATGGACGTACAAGAAGTTAGTTTTACCCGGACCTGCAATGACTATTCCACCTTGTTGCCTGAAAAATTAACCAGTAAAAAGGGCTTCGATTTAGTGTACTTATCAGGAACACTTACACGTCTAATTCTGCTTGTTTTTCAGCTAAGATTATACGTAATCCTTTCACCAAAAAGATAGGAGGGCGAAATTCAACCATGTGGTCGGATTATTACATACCAACCGCCTCTTTCCCTTGTGTCTTTCTCGAACGAAAGCTCCCAATCCTGTCTGTAACCTTCCATGTATAATTGGATGATTTTCAGACCTGCCTAGACTAACATATATGCGTGTGTTAAAATTTGAAGCATACCGGATTCAGTATAAGAAGAACAGAAAAGGCAGAGAAGATTAAACGATTATATACCCCGGGAGTGAATGTGGTTAAAACGCCAGACACAAATCTCAATGCCTTATATGATGCGTAGCTAGGGTCTGCATAAACCTCTGAAATAAACATAGAACTTATGTGAAAACATTCGAACAAAGCCTCAAAGAAATTATGGATGTTGAAACATCGGGCTTAGATCTTCTACAAAGCTTAACGTAGAAGGTTTAAACAATCGAAACTCTTAATGAACTTACCTCCTTTGAATTTCGTTTGTGCATAAAATGTCTTGGCCTAGAAAACAGAAAAACATTTGTAACTCCGATGAGTTCAATGAAATCAGAAAACGATGGAAAAGTTAAAAGAAGGCATGGAACTCAAAAGAAATGACAACAGACAATCAATCAAGTTCGGTAAAAGAAAACCAACAAGCTGGATGCGTGGATAGCTGAAGACTAGAAGGCTCATCGTAGGATACCTGATCGACACTACCAGGCCCGATCAAGACAAGTGCCACACCAGCTGCATCCATCTTATCCTGCCATAAGAAGAATCAAGAACGTCCCTGATTATTCACGCACTAGTATTCACTAAGCTACTAGCTTAGTTCGGGAACATTACCAAACAGAGCTTATAGCTTATTAGTAGCTTAAAATAAGCTATAAGCTCCTAAATAAGATCTGTCAAACAGAGCCATTATCGCCAATCTATTTATTGAGTCTCCTTTCATCGATTTCCAAAGTTATAATAAACCATTATCATTAATCATGATCATATAATGAGTATCAAAATAAGCCAATTGAAATAGGCACTCTTGGTTCTACCATTACCTTAACTGAAGCAAGATAGTCGGCCCTTTTGCGACAAAGCACGCATCTGCAATTACGAACGAGGGAAAACTTTCAATTAGTTACTTTCTGCTTTGTTCATTGGCGACACATCTCACTGGAAATGAAGCACACGGGACCTTAGAACAGTTACCCGAAATGGCGGGCAAATGCAACAACAGCTCTTCTATCTTTCCACAAATCAGAAATAGGTATTCCTTGTCCATTCAAACCAAACACGTTCACATTGTCCAACACATTGACAATCTCCTCATTCACAACATTAGACTCAGTTCCTACCAACAATTAAAAGTATGCTCTAATGAAACCGTTAAGGAAAATCCAAGTCACAAGTTTGTGACCGATATTTCTGTATATGCAGGTCTCGGGCTTTGCACCCGGGAAAACCTCTATGCTATAAAATTCAAATTTCTCAAAAGAAATGAAATTGTATATATACTACTGCAAACCCACACCTCATTTCTAATGTGGGGCAAATGCCACTCACAAGCCTTTCCAGCTCCATTTTCCCAACTCAAATGGATAGACTTTAAGAATCAATTTCTCATTCTCACATCCACTCATTATACATTTTGTGCCTATATTATATCAAATTAAATCTCTCATTAACAAGAACTCGAATCCACTTTCACCAGACCTAAATCGAAGTAGACCCCACTGAATATTATACTACAAAATAGCCACTTTAAATAATTTTTCCAACATTAATTAACATCTAAGTATAGGGTATAGAGTATAGTTCACAATAACTAATAGCTGCAACGTTTTAGTGACAATTCAACATGCTTTCTTGGAAATTGGGATAGCCATGAAGGAATATATGCATAAATAGAGACCAGAAGCTTACCTGCAGAGCTGGAGATAGCACAGATTCTATAGGGTTTTGTTGGAGTTGAGGCTTTAGTAGTGATGGGTTTTGGCCTGAGGTTGAGAGGAAAGCTGAGATTTTGATGAAGTGGGTTTTGATAAATGTTGCCGCCAAAAAGCAGCATGCTACCGCCATAGCTTCGCGTTGTTGTTGCAGAGAGAGATGCTGCCATGGCTGTAGTGTCGAGATGGCAGTTCCCGGGAGAAATCAAGAAGATGTAGACATGTGGCAGTGTTGTGATTTGTGGAAACCCAGGTTACACGTGGCAAACATTTTTCCTAATAAATTATATTTTCAAACTAAATTAAATTAAAACAAAAAGTCAAAAAAGAAAAACTTTATTTTTATATTGTTTAGAAAAATGCTTCTTATCCCTTCTGATATGACTTTTATTTATTAGGTGTCATGAATTGGTTAACCCATCACTATTTTAAAAAAAAATAATTAATAATTAATTAACTATTGACACATCATGAAAGATGGATTGAAGGAGAAAAATAAGAAGAATATTTAGCATTACTCTAATGTTTAAAGTGATAAAATGTGCAAGCTAGCTTTACGCATCCTTAATATGCTTTGTTGATGATTCAGATGTAGAAGATGATGTTGATAATTTAAGTAACGACAAAATGCAAGAAACTGGTAACAAGCTCAACAACAGCTGATAGTGGAGAAGTCTAGATGAGTTCTCATTGGAGAAAAAAAAACAAATAGGCTAAAATTATTTTATTTTGACTTAAAAATGAAAGAACAAAGGACATTTTTACCTTTCATTTACACGGCTCTAAGTCTTTAACCGAGGAAAGTAACGATAGGATAACATATGATAACATTACAAAAGTTAGAGGACCACGGGAGATCAATTTAAAAGTTTATGATTAAACGTGACAAGACTACCATACTCACTTCAGATGATATTAATTTAATATAAAAAATAACTTATTTTCAAAAATTTTAAACAAACCCTAAATTTTAAACTTTAACTACTTAGGGTGTGTTTGGAAACTCGAAAAATGATTTCTGGAAATCATTTTCTGAGTTTCTAGTGTTTGGCTAAGTAGGAAAATGAGAAGTCAAAGAAAAACCAACTCTAGTCAATGGAAAATAAGGCCATTTTTCCGGAAAATGACTTCTCGTTTTTTTGGGGGAAGTCATTTTCCATTCTCTCATCAATGAAGCTCCGCCTCCAAGAGACCAGAAAGAACCAACCACAAACAAAAGAAAATCGCCACTGCTGAGGCAGAAAGGGAAGCTGCACCGTTGGAGATCGTCGCCGCCGTCGAACTGCGTAGTCACTGCGTCCACCATTTCTGTTGCCTCCGAAGAGAGAGACCGAGGTTCAAGGACTGTTGCTTCACCGCCGGATCTGCTGTCCACACTGGAAATCAATTTCACCATTTTTCTTGCCGCTGCTAAGCCTGCTATTAAGGAAGAAAGGTAGAAAGGGAAGCTGCCCCGCCGGAGACCGTCACCGCCGTCGATCTGCTCAGCCTCAGCATCCACCACTTTTGTTACCACCGAAGAGAGAGACGGAGGTTCAAGAGCTGTTGCTTCACCGCCGAATCTGCTGTTCACACCGTAAATCAATTTCACCATTTTCTGTTACCGCCGGAGAGAGAGAGACGAAGGCTTCGCCGCTGAATCTGCTGTTACAATTTTTTTCTGAATCTACTTTTACAATTTTTTTTCTATTTGTTTGAGGTGAAATTTGTGAGCTTTTGATTATTCGAATAACGCCTGTGCACTTTTTTTTGAAAACAACACTTGTATGTTTTTGATATTTCATTATGTTTGTGATTTTTTTTTTTTTTGAATTTTGTCATTTTCTTACTTACTTTCTGAAAAATGAATTAAACACATAAAAACAATTTTCTATTACATAATCATACACAAAAAAAAAATATTTTTTCTGAAAAATAAATTATTTTTCAGAAGTTATTTTTCTGCTTTTCAAACGGACCTTTAGTTCAGTTCAGTTCCACTCACATTTTTCTTGCCGTTGGGGCGGCTTCTCACCTTTTTCTTACGTTTAAGTCACGTCGTTATAAATTTGGCATATGCTTACAGAGATGCGATATGCTAATTTGACGGCATTGGCTTGCACGTCTTAATTTTAGAACTGAAGGGCATTTCCGACAACTCCTTCCATAAATATCGTACTTTTCACCCAAATGACCCGAAAAGGGCGGATCGGGTCACATGGACATGGGTAGGACCACGTGACCCGTTTATCGTAAAGCCTACAATTTCACACATCGTTTCCTCAATTCTCCCATTTTTTTGCAGCTTCACTGGAGTCGCCTCCTCCGGTCTTCTCTCCCGCGCCGCCGCGGCCGCTCCACTCTCCCAAATCTCTCCGGCAATGGCTGCCATGAACCGTCTGTTCAGATCTCCGTCCTCCTCGCTTTCCCTTGCGCGGAGGTGTTTATCCACCGCCGCCGCATCGGAGACAGCGAAATCGCAGCCTTACATCCACACTCCTCTCGTGACGGGGCAAGATCCCAAGGCTAAAAGCGTCCAGTGGGTGTTCTTAGGCTGCCCCGGCGTCGGAAAGGGGACTTACGCTAGTCGGCTGTCCACTCTCCTCGGAGTTCCGCACATCGCCACCGGCGATCTCGTCCGTGAAGAGCTCAACTCTTCTGGCTCCCTCTCTAAACAAGTACGTTGACTTTTCATATGTGCAAAGCTATTATGTATATCTGTACGGGATCATATTATGTGAAATTTGATTGTAAAAGATTAATTTTTTCAAAAAATATTGGGAAAGCGACTATTATTATTGAAGATGTGTATTTGGTGTTATACTAGGTTATAGATATAAAATTATACATCTGTATACAAGTATTAACATATGAATCTCTGTAAGCGAGAGGGCCCCTCGTGCCGAGGTCGGGAGTTCGAACCCCTCCCCTATGGAAAAATCAATCTGGCCAGCACTTTGCCCCTTAATTGAGCCCTTCCAGTCCAAACGGAGATTAGTTTGAGTATGGTACGGGGTTGGGGTTAAAGGTGCCTCGTACAATTAGACCATGTTCAGTACATCTTGTGGTCTGACAAAAAAAACATATGAATCTCTGTTAAACGATTGATTTGATGTGTTAATGGGTAATGAGCTAACTTATTGTATATGGCCTACCCAAGCTTGTTCACTGTTAGGTGTCTGTTTAATGAAAATGTATAAGAAATTTGTTAATGGAAGAAAAGTTGTGGGAATATAGGCATGAAAAAACCAGGCAATCTTTGAGTTGAGATCTGGTGTATCTCTTTTCCCAATGTTGGGCGGCTCCGAGCCGAACGTGACTAAGGAAATAAAGTTGTCCATTCGCTATTAATTATAGCTTTTGGCGAAGTGATAAGCCTTGAGAATAGAAGCGCCTGGTACAGTGTAGCTTTTATTGAACTAGTATAGTGGTTTTTAACTTTGCTCCTGTGTGCGTTTTCCTCCTTCCATGACTGTATGACCATACTTATCTATTGGTTTCCATTTTTCCGCTTTCAGCTTGCAGAGATTGTAAACCAAGGGAAATTGGTTTCTGATGAGATAATACTAAGCTTACTGTCAAAGAGGCTAGAGGCTGGGGAAGCTAGAGGTGAATCAGGGTTTATACTTGATGGGTTCCCTCGAACAGTGAGACAAGCAGTAAGTAGTTTTTCTATTTCTGAAATGGAAATATGTGTGTTCATTCCACTTTGATAGTATGAATTGCATTTTTTTCCCTTGTATGCTACATATATTAGATGCATTGTACCTAATCACATTAATTGATTGTCTAGGGCTTGGCAAGATACTCAAATATTGTTTGATTTTATGGACGTAAATAGTAAGAGATGGTGACCGTGTTTTGAGATTATGGCCTTGTTTGACAATTACCGGTTAGTAGGGTTAAGCAAGTCTTCTCCCACATTTGGTAGACAATTCACTCTCCCAAAGGGAGAGTGGTTAGCATACATTTAATGCCCAAGGGAATTTTGGTAACAAAATAGCGTTTGACAAAACGCTAGAGGGAAATGCTGCAATTTTCAACGTTTCCAAAATCGGTGGTTTGCCCCCAAAACGCTCTTCCCAAATAAGCTGTGAATGAAACAAAGTTTTTGGCTTTTTGACTAGGTCAAACCACTTAAGTTTGGTCAAAATGCCATTTACCAAACAAGGCCTATATGGACGATTCCTGTTGAAGTGGAGGATTTTAATTGGGGCACAATAACATCAGTTGATTATTACATTCATTGTGATTGCTTCCACTTCCTAGTGGGACTAAGGGTATGTTCGGTTCATGGGTTTAGACACAAGGAATGGGAATGAAAGTCATAGACATTGTTTGGTTGACAACTTTTTAAAACACAGGTATAGGATTTGATTACCCTTATAATTACAAATCTCATTACCTAATTTAAATCAAGTATTATTCTATTAAATCAGCTCTCTCATTTCGTCACCCCCTCACTTTATCGACTTCCACACAACATTGCCTACTCACTTCATTGCCACTCTTAAGATCAATTGCCTTGACATTTTTTATTTTTGTATTGTTAAAACCTTTATTCTAATTATAAAGTTATACATAACCAAACATCAATATTGGTAATCATTCCAATTTCATCCTACTGCCAAACATGTAAAATACTTTTACCAAAACCCATTCCAATTACCAAATATTTGATTTCAATTCCGATTCCCATGTTTGAATCAAATACACCCTAAATATGCTTTTAATTTTGAGGGAAACATACTTGCATTCAAGCATCTTAATTATTAAAATGAAAATATCCCCCTTTTTTTTTCCATGTGATTAACGTGTATGTTATTTATGGATCAGGAAATATTGGATGAAGTGACAGACATTGAGTTGGTGGTTAATCTCAAGCTCCCAGAAAGTGTATTAGTTGATAAATGCCTCGGGCGAAGGATTTGCAGTGAATGTGGGAAGAATTTCAATGTGGCATCTATTAATCTCAAGGGCGAAAATGGGTCTCCTGGAATGAGCATGGCCCCTCTACTTCCCCCTCCACAATGTGTTTCAAAGCTAATCTCTCGAGCTGATGATACTGAAGCTGTTGTTATGGAAAGACTTCGTGTATACCATGACAAGGTATTGCTTTAACTTTCTACTTAAAAGTATTGGTATGGATAAAATGAGCGCTGTTCAATACAATCTTACAAAGTGACAACAAATAGATGTTTCTTTCTACAAGTCCAATAGTCGTTGACATTAAAGCACCACTGAATTTGCACCACCCCCGTCCCTCACCCTACAGGGTGTGAAGTTATGCTGCTGTACTTTGTGTCCTTCCCATGGAGATTAGCGATAAGATATTGATTTATACTTGTTGGCATTTGCAGAGTCAGCCGGTGGAGAATTTTTATCGTAGCCAAGGGAAGCTGCTGGAATTCGATTTGCCTGGAGGGATACCAGAATCTTGGCCAAAATTGCTGGAAGTTCTCAACCTCGATGAACACGAGGACAAACTATCAGCTGCAGCTTAGATCTCCGACCAATTGCTTATTCGCTTTGCATGATTGATGCATGCATGCTTAACATTTTGTTCAATTTTGCCCCATTGACTGTCTCAGTTTCTGAAAAATAACCAAACATGAAGTCCCCTAGCCAAGTTATTGTGCTGGCCAAATAGTAGAATTTCCAGAAGTGCATTTTTTTTTTTCTTTCTAAGAGGTATGTTGTACCATAGTATCGGTTTAGTTAAAGGAGTTGCCATTAATTTTCACTCGAGAAATAAGCTGCTAGTAGCATATTCACTTCATATAATTAACCCCCAGACCATTAAGGTGGTCTTCATTGATTGGATTTAAGAAGAGTTTCATTTGTTCCTTTAATTTTTTTGTACTCCAATTAGTGACTTTTTTGCTCATCATAATTTAAAATAGATTTTCAAGAAGTAGATGAGGATAGGGTCGCAAACAGTTCAGGAATACAAGTCAGTTGATATGGATGCTAGAATGTGCTGCCTTTATCCCTATTTTATGTGTTTGGTTCGAAGTCTTAACTGAAGTTATTTTTAATTTAATTTTCTTTTTTTTTTATAATATTTAGTATAGTATATTAGTATACAAAATTTATATATTTAGAAATTACTCTAAAAGTACTATTAAACACTAAAAAGATAAATTTAAAAATAAGTACAAAATATTAAAAAAAATACTGACAAATAATTTTGCCTTTTGTACCAAGTAGTAGAGAATATTACGATTTAATTCCTCCACTATCCTTGGGGAGTAGAGAGGTAAGAGAAGGGGTGCCGTGAGAGTAAGGAATTTCACTTTTTAATATTACGGAGTGCATTTTCACTAAAAAGTATTTTAGACTTGCTCTAATTTTCTTATGTAAATAATAAGTTTTAAAATAACGACTATAACTAATCTCCGCAACTGATTCTCATTTTTTCGGATTTTCCTTCTAAATAGAAAGTTTCACAAAATCTTTTAATTAAAAAAAAAAAAAACATCAATGTACACATGCAAAAACACGCGGGAGCTGCCACGTAGTCACCCTAATTTGTCCCGGCCGTTGGATTTGGTAAACGCAAACTATCAATCTTTTCCACGTCACAGTCCTAGTCATCTCCAACTTTTAAATTTCTGTTAATTCCTAATTTACCTTTTTTTTTTTTTTTTTTGTTTTTTTTTTTGTTTATTATTAATACTCCTTTCTTCAGTTCTTGTTTGCTGTTTGATTTTTCGCTATACATCCCAGGCATGTCTGCTCTACCTTTTTCATCCTTTTGTATTCTGCATTTCAATCTGTGATATGTTTTGCAATGATCAGTTATTATTTGATGATAAATATGAATTAGATTGTGATTATTGATAAGATTTTGTTTTTTAAAATGATCAGGAATTGAAGTTGTTTCAATGATCGTCTATGGCGTAAAGGAAGAATTGGTCGATAAAGAGAAAGGATTTGGAGATGGAGATCCATGCGAAGGAAGAAATGCACGTAACCGGCGACGACGACAAGGAGTTTATGGTTGATGGTGCGAGTGAAGACGCGAAGGATGTAGGCAATAAGAGGGCGTTGCCGGCCGAATTTTGTGTACGAGAGCAACAGAAGCGAGGTGAGACGACGATATTCTGGGAGATGTTTCTTCATGTTACGTCCATTAGGGTGCTGGTGGTGGAGATCGATGACTCCACGAGGCGTGTTATCAGTGCGCTGCTTATGAATTGCAATTATGAAGGTTAGCTCGATCGATTCGATTTAATTTCCGGCCTCCAGTTCTAGATTGAATATTCATATGCTCGATCGTCAATGGATCTAGGATTGCATCGTCCTTTATTTATCTGACTCAATAATCAATATTGAACTTTACTGGTTCAGAGCAGTGATCGGAGCTTCAAACGGATTGGAAGCATGGAAGATTTTAGAAGATGAAACCAACCAGATTGATCTTGTGCTGAGTGAGGTAGTAATTCCTTATTTGTCAGGCTTAGATCTTCTCTGCAAAATTAGGAGCCACAAACCGTGCAGTAATATTCCCGTGATTAGTAAGTAAATTGCTTTCAATTCTCATCTGTTAAAACTTCTGATAGATAGTGTACAAATTGATCGAATTATTCTCTTTCTGAGATTCCTGAGTTAGTTGTTAATATGTGCAGTGATGTCCTCCCACGATTCGATACACTTGGTCTTTAAGTGTTTATCAAATGGGGCAGTAGACTTCCTGGTAAAACCTGTTAGGAAGAATGAGCTTAAGAACTTGTGGCAGCACGTCTGGAGAATTGGAAGTTGCCACAATGTTAGTCGAAATCAATGAAGTTGAATTGCGCCTTCTTTTTTAGACCACGCAGAAATTAAAAAATTTATGATTTTCTCACTGTCTTCATTTCTTTGTTCCTCAGTCTAATGGCAGTGTAAGTGGGAGTGGGAAAGAAACCAAAAGCTTTGACGGCGACGTTGGAGAGGATAGTAGAAGCAGCAGCGACTTGAAAACCGGTGGTGGCCATGAATGATGCAGGTTCCATGATTTACTTGTTTTCATTGGAAACATTTAGGACTTAGTACAAAATCTCATGTTTAACTAATTAGGATTCATCTTTTTGAGGTTGTGTTGATAATGATATGCCACTTAGATTATATTCACCAACTCTTAGAGAAGAGATGGCCTTAATATAGAACCAATAAGTGAAATTGAGCTTCTGTTCTGTTCCTCCATACTTTCTAGTTATTTATTTTTCCCAGATTGATACTGTAGTATAGGTGACAAGTCTGGGCAAATGCCACATTGTAGCAGGAACATTCATGAACAACTGGTTAGAAATTTTGTGTGTTGAATAAGGAATTAGTTACAGAAATTACCTAATATGTAGTCCATAACCAAGTGAAGTTTTCTGAGGCATTCCTATTGAGCGATATATGAATTCAAAATGAGCAAAGCCAACATAATCTGTGACCTTTCATTTAGAATGGTAACAATAATGATGTTTAGACCACAAGATACTCAACATATATGACTTGTTATTCCCTACATTTTTCATGTACGTGTATTAAATCATATTTTTCATCTCTTAATCTAGTGACATTAAGTGATTTTCTTATATGAAAGGTTTTTAAGAATGTTTTGCTAAGTTTCTTAGATATGGCAGCTTCCATTAACAAATATTTATAATTTTATATAGTAAAACAATGTTTTTACTAGTAAGTCAAAGTTTTATTGGTTTATAAAACATTAAATGTTATTTTATTAATTAATATTATAAAGTAATTGATACTATATGTATATATTTTTTAAGTGAAGCCAACCAGATAAATTTTAAATTATCACAAGATATCTCATGCTGTCTATATACAGATAGTTTCTTTAACATAATATGATCTTCAAGTGGTAAGCTATGAACAAGTTTAATAACAAACCAGCGTTAAGCTATGAACAAATTTAATAACAAACCAGCGTTAAAATCCACCATGCTTGCGTAGAAAAGCTCCTATATTTGAGATAAAGTAATAACACTCAAATCTAATTTGAAAAGTAATCTAATTTGCTATCAAATTGAGAATGGAGCCACTCAAATTTCTGACATTTATTGGCACTAACAGCTCCAATATATACAGTGGTGGACCCAGAAAATTTTTCCAGTGGGGACGAAACGCATTAAAACAAAAGAGATAGTTTGATAAAACATAAAACACTTAAAATATAGCCATAAATATTGTTAGATGTAGACGAAAAATAAAACACATCAAAACTTTATAAAAAATATTCATAACAAAATATGAAACATAATTAATTTGATAAAATAATTCAAATAAAAAATACATTATAAACACATCTCATTATTAATATAAAAGAAAGTTATAAATGTGTGTAAATCTCACAATTAATACGAAGTATTAATCTGACTAAGTAAAGATTCGAACCTTGGCTTCTTAGAAAGGATGTACGCGTACCTTACCACCTAGGTTAATCATCTTTTGTTAAATTTTATCTATTTTATTATACTTATACTAAAACTTGTACTGTAAAACATTTTGAAAATATTTATAATGGTCTAGAATATATACCTCTATAAAATCATCTTAAAATGTTTTTTCCTCAATAAAATATTTTATGATTGATAACACATAAAATACATACACTTGACACATGTTTATTGTTTAAATATTTGCATTTCCTAATTATTGTTGTATTAAAATGATTTAATTTCTTTATTTTAATGCATTAAAAAACATTTTCAAATTATATCGTGATGAAGGTTGATGATCAAGTAAAGTTGGAACTGAAATGTCATTTCCATCCAATAGATAACTAAATAACTCGAATCAAATGTTTAATGTGATGAACAGTGTTTGCCTAGATACCTTAAATGATAAATTCTCTCTCCCTCCATGTGTTGAACTAGTGGACAACAAATCAGCTTTTTCATTTCAACTTAGAGGGAGAAGGAGAGAATTTCTGTGATGATAAGTAAACCTCGTCTTAGATCGATATGAAGTCTTCATCTCAAGAGACAAAATATCAAAAGCTTTTATCTTTGAATTTGTTTAGTCTATGGGATATCTTCTCTAAATTTGCTTCTCATCTAAGGGGTGTATTCAATCATGACTTTCATAGAGTTGGACTTTTATAAATTTTAAAAGTTTGGAAGTATTCAATTCAAACTTTTAGAGAGTTTTTAAAAGTCATGCAGTATTCAATCAAGATTTTTAAAGAGTCTTTAAAAGTCGTGTGGTATTCGATTAAGACTTTTAAAGAGTCTTTAAAAAGTCATGTGGTATTCAAAAAATTATGAACTTTTGCAGACTTTTTAATTTTAAGACTTTTGTAGACTTTTCCTTCTCAAATATAAATAGTTGAAATCCAACCATCGACCCTAAGATTTCAAATTTTCTTTCTAACAACTTTGAATGTTTTCTCTCTCTATTTTAACTCTATTTTTTTCTCTCCCTATTTAAACTCTATAAACCTATCTAAATTCAATAAAATTATTTTTTTCTTCATTATCCTATATTTTTCTCATACCTAAACTCTACCAATTTTTCTCTCTCTCCTAAATTTTAATTAGAATCTTCATCTAAAAATTCGAAATAATATTATTTTTACTTCATTATTGCTTGTTTATATTGATTTTTATTTTTTTTCTATGAATTTTTTATCCCTAACTTTCTCTAATTCTCCCTAAATACATGAACACGTCAAATTTTTCATCGTCAAATTTTAGTATATGTTTCATAATATTCATATAAATACTTATATATTTTGATTTTTATTCTTTTTATGTTTATATTCGTAATATATATTTTTCCCTTTTTTTTAACAACCTACTACGAATAGCGAATTACTGTTCGCAATAACAATTTGGGGTTGCAAACAGTAGCACCTTGTTGTTGTTTGCAGTCTCAAATTGCTATTGCAAATAATAGTTCTTTGCGTGATGCCTAGCAATATATCAAGTATAATTATATATATATATATATATATATATATATTATTAATATTATATTTTTATTTTATTTTTTATTTTATGCAACTTATAATTATATTTTTAAATATTTTATTTGATCAAGTCTTTTATTATAAATTTTATTGTTCAATATTATTATGAATTTCTACTGAAATAGTTTTTTTTTTTTTTGATGTTTATTAATATTTAATAATATATATAAGTAATTAGCATATAAGTCTCAGCATACTATTGATAAAAATAATAATGTTGAGAATGTTGATGTGAGTGAAGAACTATATAATAAGAAGAATTTTATGATATATTATAAATGTTTTGTAAGAAAATTGTAAATGATAAGAATTTAAATCATTGAAAGTTTGTAAGGATGTATTCAATTTAGAATTTCAATGACTTTTGTAGACTTTTTAAAATAAAAAGTTGATAAAAGTCTATGAATGTTTTTTATATAGACTTTTATTGAGTCTTATAAAGTTTTAAAAAGTTTTGAACGACTCTATGAAAGTCAATCAAAGTTTATTAAAATATATCATTTTAAAAGTTTTTAAAACTCTATAAAAGTCATGATTAAATACACCCCCTAAATTTGATGTGGAGTTTGAAGGAGGTTTGTCTAAGATGGAGTTGTTGATGGTATAATGTCATCAAAGTTAAAGATTAAAACTAGTACTAATGCTCTCTCTCCCTTTTAATGTTATTTCTTACCACAAATGTTCTATATTCATATTTTGTTAAAAATTGCATTCAATTAATTCAAGAAATAAGCAACATTATCATTTATTTTATTAGGGCGTCAACAAATCACACAACTCAAGCTTTGAAGACTATCAATTTTTAATTTAATCTTAAGGTTTGGATTCTCTCATTTTTTTTTATCTATGATGCATTTTCTTCATTTAAGGTTTCTTCATTGAGGAGTTTTATTAGTTTTTTAGACAAACATGTTGATTTAAAAGAGAGAGGTAAGAGGAGAGAGAGTTCATGATTTTTTTTTTTTTTTTTTTAAATTGTATGATTTTTGAGGTTTTGTAAAAAAGGCCATAATCTCTTGTCTTGCACAACGAGTGCGTGCATTTCATGTGTCCATCAGAGTTGCACGATTTTTATGTTTCCCTTCTTCTTTTTTTTGGGTGTTTCTCTATCCTTGTTAATTAGCCGGACAAAAAAAAAAAATCTAAATAGGGACAACTCTAACAAAGTTGATCAGACTCTTGACTTAGATACAAACTCAACTCCTTGCGGGAACACCTTTTTGACTTTCTTAGTTTGAGTCAATCAACTATAAGCAACTTAGACATATTTTTCCTCATCTAGTCATTTGTTAGAGATAAATGACTATAAATATTTCTCATCATTAAAAAAAAAAAAAAAAAAAAAAAAAAAAAAACTCAAAATAGGCATTCACAAATCACAATTGAGCTCACTCTTAATGGAGTATGCTTTTTCTTTCAAAGTTCCAACCAAAAAAATATTGGTTTTGGGACTAAAAATAGAACTATGGAGTAATTAAAAAATTAAAAATAAAATGACAGGCACATGAGGTGTTGAACGTAAGTGTTCAACTACCAATCAATTCCAATATCCATGGTTGTTGAACCATCGCCACCGCCCGCACGCGCGCGCCCCGCCATTACCCGCACGTGATCTCTCTTCTCAACTAACATTCCAACCCTCTCAACAATATTTCATTTTCGGATAAATGATGTCTAATAACACCTAAAAAAAAAGTTCATTTATTTTGTGTCAAAATTTTTGGATTTTAATTTCTTCATTTTAAATCTTACAACTTTACAAATATTTCCACATTGATTATCTGTTACAATTTCATCAATTTGACTTTAATTTATAAGATAATTTCACAATTTTAATATTATATTCACAATTTCACAATAAACGATATATAATAAACAATAAATTGATAAAGAAAAATACCATAACACAAAAATTAATATTGTAAAGTACTAAATTATTTTAAATGGTTACACTAATTTAATAGAAAATGTAACACATGACCAAGTGTGCTAATGTCGGTAAATATGTGAACTATATATGATCAAATTACAAGTTATGAACTAAACATGACCAAACTTTATATAATCATGGGAAAAAAAGTTAGAAACTAATGAAAAATACCATTAAGGAGTCTACATATCCCAGGTTCAAGCATTAAAAATAATTTCGAACATAATTAGTGTCAATGTACAAGATCTTAGTATTTCAATAAAATAATGATGTCCTTGAAAGAGATATTCGACTTTTATGTATTTTCTCATAACAAAAAATTACGAATTTGGTCTTTACTAGTTATTAACATTTTTTTGATCCTAGTATGGAACTGTGGTTTCTCTCGTCATAAATAATAATAATAATAATAATAATAATAATAATAATAATATAATGACTAACTTTATCCGAAAGCCAAAAATAGAGTGAGTTGGCCACTCATTTGGGAGGTTTTTTTGGCTCAAAGCTAAAACCCAAAAAATAAAAATAAAAACAAGCCTATATAGAAAAAACACTGACAAAATCACAAAATCCCATAACCCATAGGTCATTGTTCCAACTCGCAATCACAATGTCATAAATCTTTAGCAAAAAAATGAAGGAAACGTCAGTCTCATGATAAGGGCAACCATTTCTGCACAGTGCAAATCAACAACTATCAGTCTTCTCTTTCTCTCTCTGGGTTTGGTGTATGCATTTCAACTTTCAAGATTCTGTCTGGGCTTTGTTTATTCTTTTATTTAGTGTCATATTTTGAAAATATTTTCCAGATATTAGTGTATCTCTCCCTTTTTGAATTATTTTTCCTGTTTTTGGATTTTGGGTTTCTAATGCAGGTCAAGTTGAATGCTTCCACAGCTCTGTTAAGTGCACAGGCCTCATTGTAAGTCTAATCTTGCTTGTCTTTCTTGTTTTTTCATCCAATCTTAATTTTCCCAAAGAACATATGCATGCTATTTAGGTTCAATTCACTCTTTGTGGTTAAAGAAAAGGTCTCAATTTCTTTAAAAGATTAGTTTGTGTGAATTGTTGTTGCTTTGATTTGCTTTTAGATTTTGCATTTGGATAAATCTGGGCTACTCTCATATTGCTGATCTTTTATATATATATATATATATATACATGATATTCAGGTTAACTATTTGTGGTTAAAGATGTTTCCTTTATTTCTAAAAAAGCAACTTTGGGTCAATTGTTGCTTTGATCTGCTTTAATTTTTAAGGTTTTGCTTCTGTTTTTCATGTTAATATGGAGAATTCGGCTTGGGAAGTTCTGATAATACTTCCTAGATGGCTCTGTTTGATAATTCCCATTAGTTTCATCATAAGAATGATAGTTCTTGCCCAAGACCTTGTAGTTGTAGTCTTAGGTTCAATCAATTCCCCCTTAAATGTAGCCAAAAATTTGAAAGAGAGAGAGAAGGAGGAGGATGAGGAGAAAGAACGATGGTTCTTGATTTATTGATTACGCCATAAAACATGTGTAATATTTGAGGTTATATACTTATATTCTATTAAGAGTCCCATATTGAAAAATAAGAGAGAAATATAAGGCTATGAGTTAGACTAGCTAATTGATTAGATTCAGTCTTTTAGTGTGGTTTGATTATAATATGAGTAACGAAATTTTGTTGAAGATGGAGATCAAAGAGGTAAAGAAGATTGCGGTAGCCAAACCTGTTGCAACGAGGCCTACTTGTTCTACCTATAGACCGTTCTCCGAGCTTCTTTCTGGTGCAATAAATGGATCATCCACCGGGGGCTGTTCTCAGACCGCAGTCATAGCTGCCATTAGACCGAAGACAGTAAGATTAAGGTCAGCGGGGAACCAAACTTTAGGTGGAAAGGTATCTCCTGGGTGGTAATATCTCAAAGTTACAAAGATCTTCCCTTTTTTTATTCCTACATCCTCTTTTATGATCTTTATTCTCTCGAGATTTGGTATTTTCAGGTCGAGATGCCTGGCGTTTCAGTTCGGTCCCCTCCTGCTAACGTGTTGAAATCCGATGACAAACCAACCATCGTATACAAACCCATGCCAAAGCTACTCTCCAAGACAACTTTTCCTCAAAATTTGAACATGGTTAGTGTCTGGTAAATATGAACATTAAATTCGCTTTTCTGTGCTAAGAATGTGTTTTTCACTTGAATATTTAAGTTTTCCATTACAGTGAGGGAATTGAATTAAAGTATGGGTGATGGTTTTTCGTTCCTTTTAGAGAAGCTCTACATCGAGTCAGCAAAACGAAGCAGCTGAGGAGACGAGCCAGGTGAAACCATCTGACGTGAGATTAGAAGCTCATCAAAGTTTATCATTGAAGTCAGGAACGGACAAAAAACCGGTTGACCACTCGAAAATGGCAATGCAGAACACAGAAGACAATGAGCGTTCTCTGTTTCAGGCCAGTGGCGTGGACTGTCTTTCTGGGGATGGATATAATTGGAGAAAATATGGACAGAAGCAAGTTAAGGGGAGCGAGTACCCGAGAAGTTATTACAAGTGTACACATCCAAAATGCCCCGTGAAAAAGAAGGTCGAAAGATCACTTGATGATCAGATTGCAGAGGTTGTGTACAAGGGCGAGCATAACCACGCTAAGCCACAGCTTCCAAGAAGCAACTTGCGGGATGGACAACCGAAAGGGGTTCTCGTCTCGGAGGATACTTGTAATGAAACCAATAACCCCGTGAGGAGGAGCGAGCAACTTACTCTACAAAATGAACCTTGTGGACCTAGCACCGAGCATAAAAACAACACCATGTTGTCCACACGCTCAACTTATTCTAGCGGAGCTCCTCCACCATTCCACGGTGCTGCATCAACTCCCGAAAACTCTTGCGCTCCAAGTGGGATACATCGAGAAGGAAGTCAAGGATTGGAGGCAGAAGGCGATGAACCGAAAGGAAAAAGAAGGCAAGTAATGCAAATGGTTGACCTGATATATGCACAATGGGCCAAACCACACTAAAAAGATTGAATCCAACCAAATAGCTAAATAAACCCATATGTTCTCTCTTATTTTATCAATGTGGGACCTTAACCTATCTAAACATGCTTTGATTTCTATATGCTATATCGTTTCTTCTTTATTTTTATATTGCTTTCATTAAGGCATTAATTTCATTTGTAAGTAATTTACACCAGGAAGTGCGGGAGCCAAACCCACGATGGAGCGACACTCGGGAATGGTGCAATGGAGACGACACAGACTGTTGTCGGAAGTACAACTGATTCTGAAACCACGAGGGATGGATTCCGGTGGCGAAAGTATGGGCAGAAGGTAGTTAAAGGAAATACGTACCCCAGGTAAATTTACGTAATTTAGGGGCAGAGCAGATGAATTAGCACTTAGTTTACAGTTTCCTATGCTATTGCAGTGTGATTCTTTTAGTATGGGATCAAAACTCTTTCAAAAGAGCCTCGGTTATCATTACTAACGAAATTAACATTAAACAATCTCTCCTTCAATATTTTATGCATATTGTGCTTCGATTCCCTCTGACAAGTTTTTACGTTGCAATGGCGATGCAGGAGCTATTATAGATGCACGAGTCCTAAGTGCAATGTGAGGAAGTATGTGGAGAGAGCCCCCGATGATCCAAAAGCCTTCATAACGACCTACGAGGGAAAACACAACCACGACGTTCCAACAAGAAACCCAAATCCCGAGCCATCTAGATCGAGCACAAGGGCTGCAGCCACGAAAGAAAAATCATAACCATCGAGATATATGTTGGAAAGCGGGGGCTGGAATCTTACTGCATTATATTGGTCGAGAAATGTCTCTCTTTCTTGCAAATTGTGTTTATCTATCATGCAAAGACTTGGTAAAAGATAGTTTTTAGCACAGGTAACTCGAGTATAACCTTACCGCTATTTTGAAGTGATTTGGACAGTATGATTTGAGAGGCTTTAAAATCATTAACCTGTGGAATTGGAAGCCATTTTGACTTGGCTAGCCACCCAGGAATCCAGTCATGATAATTTCTTTCCTTCATTCTTGACTGTTTCTTTACATTCTCTTTTAGTCATGGTCCACAGGGCTAAGTGGCTGTCTGTTTTATTACTTGCATATGATAGAGATAGAGAGATGTAAACCAGAGTAGAGGCCCAATTTATCAACTTACCTGAACGGGTTTAGCTTAATGGTTTAGTAAACAGTATTAGGGAGAAGAAGTTTATTATCAACTTGAGTTTTTGCCATGTTTGGTTCCACGAGTTTGGTGATACAAAATCCGGTGGTATTCTATTGAATTTTATCACATGAGTTGCGAGTGACCAAATATTAGAGGCAAAGTGTGTATATATAGCCAATAGACATGCAAGGTAGGGACATTTTTGTTCATAATATTTGGTCACACTCGCAACTCTTGATAAAGTCCAGCGGGATATTACTAGAAAAGACCGTGAGGAAAAAATAATAATACTCTATAATACACTAGTAGTGACAATTTTTTAGGTCATGCACCACTAGTGGAAATAACATCAAACTGTTGGACTAAAAGTGACACAAATTCTTTTTAAGTTACACCTATGTACCAAAATTTAAGCACAAAGTTGTTGGTGATGAGGGAAACTCGCAGTCGCTATCTGAGGGTATGTATTAGGTAAACTCTGCATTGTAATCTTAGTCATAAAATAATCACCATAACTAACTGTCTCAAACTAAAAAGTGAATAAATAACTCTCATTAGAAATCAAATTTAAAAGCATGTAATTATGAAGCTAACTACAAAATTTTGTGCCAATATAAGAAGTACATGGCGGACTTCAAATGACTCATCTGTGTGTTTATAGAATAAACTAATTTACAAATACGGAGAAATTAATAAATACGAACAACTATAAATTTGACGTTTGTTAAAGGTCTCGTGGTCGAGTAGTATAGCTATGGACTCTTAAATTCTTTGTGTTTCAGTAGGTTAAGAAAGTATGTTTGAATAATAATAAAGATTTAATAGTATTAAAAAAAATTAATGTTTAATTTTTTTTTTTTTTTAAATTGACGTTTAAATTTGGAGCCTCTACACAGGCTGTAATTAAATCCAGCTGTTTGCTTTCAAAAAAATAAATACGAACAACTATAACATTGTTAATGAGTCATTAACATTTTTTTAAAATTTCATATGCATCAAATCTTATACTCCGTACAATCTTAACTTTGACACATGTTAAGATATATATATATATATATATATATATATATATATATATATATATATATTTGAATGCTATTGGCTCTATTACAATGTAGTATCTGTTCATATACTTTCTCAACGTACTGAAACACAAAGAACCAATAACGCAGGGTACCATTAGATCACATAGTCTTGGTATATATATATATATATATATATATATATATATATAAAATTTGGAACATATGCAAAAGAAGTCTTTAGGTAAAAAAAAAAAAAAAATAGAGATAAATCTCAACCATAGATATAATCCAAATCTATAGCCTAGATTGAAGATAAATTTAAAAAATGTGCGGTGACATTATTGTACATTTAAGAAGTCATATTGTCTTTGCATCTTGAGTGCACATTTTTCCTTCTTTGCACATGTTTCCTTCTTTAAGTGCATTTTTTCTCTTCTTCGAGTGCATATGTTTTGTTTCAGTACATAATTTCTCATTTGAGTGCACATCTTTATGCCTTTGAGTGTAAAAATTTGACATTCGAGTGCACACTTTTGTGTCTTCAAATGCTTAATTCTTTGAATTTATATTTTTCAAATCCGGTATGGTATTGAATAAGACAATGTTTTATATATCTACTGGTAATATCTTGTGACGTTTAATATAAATAAACAATTTCTTATTGTTAAAGAAAGAAAGAAATTTTGCAATAAATTTTGAGAATAATTGTTTAATTTTTTTATCATTTTAATTTATTTTTAAATTTTATCAATAAAATTATTTAAATTTTTTGTCCAAGAGTGAAATGCTAATTTGATATGAATTGAAAACTTCAGCACTATACACCATCAGCAGCCTGCAGAAAAAGATACTTACATTATAACAGCTGTCATTATAAACGTAAGCCACATCTTCTAATAGTAGTATATGCAATACATTAAAGAAAACTGGAATTTTCTATTCCTAAAGAAAATGACTGTCTTGACTTGTTAAAGTGTGTGTGCGCGTATATTGATAAAATCATATTAAATTCCTTTTGTACAAAGTAAAGATTGATGTGTTAAGAATATATGTGGTTGTCATATTTTTCTCTATTTAGTTCTAGTTATGTTCCTGTTGAATAGTTATGTTAGACTGGCTGATTGTTACAATATCCTGTTAACTTCCTGTTATCTTCTTTCATTTATATACTATTTATAGTTGATTGTATTTATATCAATAAGTTGTTCAATTCATAATCTTACATGATGTTCATTAGTGTTCATCAATAGTTGATAATTGTTAAAAAATAAAGGAAGAATATGGAAAAGGTTCAGATGAAAATGTAATTCCACATAAAAAGTGAGAACTGATATGATCCCTAAATTTTAATAAATGTTGAAATTTGTTGAAAAGTAAGAAAAAAAAAAAAGATAAACTGAGATAAATTTAAGTTTGCAATGATTATAAAATTGACTTCCTTACTTTTACTAAAATCATTAATAGTTCATAAATGTGATGAATGACTGTGATATATATATATATATATATATATATATATATATATATATATATATATATATTTATTTATTTATTTATTTATTTATGGAAATAGGTTATTCATATTTGGAATAAGGTCCAAATTGGCCCCTGAACGAAACGTGAAAGTGCAATTTGACCCCTGAACGTAAAAGAAGTGCAATTACCCCCCTCAACATCTCAAATATGTGTAATTTGACTTGATAGCAGGTTAACATTTCATCCAACCGGTTATATGATGATGTGTATGCTGACTTGGGATTTTTTTTTTTTTTAATTTCCTTTTATTTCCTTTTCTTCCATTCACTGTGTATTAAGGCAAAGCTTCAATAGAAATTCCCAAACCACGCATCAAAATTCCCAAACCTGCATCAGAAATTCCATTCATCGTGTACCTGCATCAAAAATTCCATTCACCGTGTACCTGCATAAAAAATTCCCAAACCACGCCCGTGAAAGCTATTAACTTGTTCGTTGTTAATATAACTATGTAAAATTGAATATTTTTTCATGAAATTTATCCTGCTTGTAAATTTGAGAGAAGATATCGATGGTAGAATATTACAACTGCTAGAGTTAGTTGTTTTGTAAAGAAGAAGACAAAAGAAGGAAATAAAAAAAAAATGCCAAGTCATCTTTCTAAAAAAAAATGTCAAGTCATCATCCACGTCACACATGCAACCTGCTAGATGGGATGTTAACCTGCTATCAGGTCAAATTGCACATGTTTGAGGTGTGGAAGGGGGCAATTACACTTTTTTTTACATTCAGGGACCTAATTGCACTTTTACGTTTTGTTCAGGGACCAATTTGGACCTTATTCCTTCATATTTGAACCCACTACTTTATATATATATAACAAGATATATTATACGGAGTACATGATATTATAAAAATTGTTCATATATACATATACTGATATACACACACCACGGTTTACCCGTGTGAACTGTGAGCTTTATTTTCTCAATAATTTCAACATTGGGAATGAGATATCTTCAATTCTCACATACCGCACGCCACCTTCCACGTATAAAAACCGGCACTCAGAATTCAGAATTGTGAGTCACAAAAACGTTATAAAGTTCATTACGATAGATACATTACATTTATTCCATTCCTATATAAACTTCCACATTAAATTAAACTAGTAGTTGCACCCGTGCGATGCACGGTCCTATTATTATGTTGAAATATCATCAAAATTGTTTTATTCATTATATAGGTTGAATAAGGTTATAGAAGTGAGAAATACAGAAAATATAATATTTTATTGATAAGTAAACTAAACAATTACAAATTATTAAAGATTTCTTTATAAACTACATTTTGGGTCTTGTTTATAAGACCTCTAGATTCCCCACAAATTAAGACCTTAAGACCATCCGGATTACTGACTCGAGATACTGCAACATATAATTGGCCATGATTAAAAACAGGTTTTTTCAATATCAAACCCACATGTGAAAGCGTCTGACCTTGACTTTTGTTGATTGTCATTGCATATGATAACATAAGCGGGAATTGCTTTCTTTGAAACTTGAAAGGAAGTCTTGGGTCCGAAGGAGTCAAAGATAGTCTGAGTATCAGAACCTTTGTACCTGCGTTATTGCCAGCTATGATTTTCCCCTCAATAACATGATTTCCCAATTGTGTTACTATTAACCGAGTACCATTGCACAACCCCATCGAGTGATCAATATTTCTCAACAGCATAACTGGAGTTCCAATTTTCAATGTTAAAGAGTGGTTTGGTACACCTGAGCACCTCAGACTATTTAAAAACTCTGTTGTGTGTACCTGAGATTGCATATCAAAGTTTGCCTCAGCCTTGCAAATAGAATCACAACTCAAATATGTCATTGATGCAGCTTGATTAATACCATTCATGTATTCATTGACCTCGTCAACAACATCCAATGTTGGAGCTAAAATAGCTCTATCCTCTAATTGTCTTTCATCCATGTTGCCAGAACGGTATCCAGGGAATGTGTTTTCCACAATTTGTTTTATTGGATCAACCTCATTCTGTAATACAATGGAAGACGGCATTATTATATTGCAATCAACATTGTTGTCTTCACCAAGATTACCATCACCTAAATCCGCAATCCACTTAGCAAAACTATCTAACTTCTCCAAATCATCTTCATCACTAACACCGCGCAATCTTAAATTCTTCGTTAGACGAAGAACTTCACAATTATTCCACAAGTAAGATGAATTAATGCTGGCTTGTATTATATCTTGTCTAGTACCTTTGGGAATAACTGGTAGGATTTGTCTAAAGTCTCCACCCAACACCACAGTTTTCCCTCCAAATGTCATTGTTGAGCTCC